ATGTTTGGCTGGTTAGTTTCTCTCCAAAAAGAGATTGAAATGTCCTTTCTCTTGATACCAGTTAATATATGACCTTCTCCTTTAGGAGGATGTTAAATTAGGACGCAAAACGCTTGACTTTGATGTGAGATGCTTTTCGGGCCAGTTGAAAGTTTATTTAGCATAATACATGATGAGTTATTACCTGTACAAGTATATGTACAATTGTGCTCAGCAGACAGTCTAAGAAATGGTGAGATTGTAAATCTGGGAATTGTAATCTAAACATTTTAATTGTAATCTTAAATTTTTAGCAAAGTTAAATTTAAATACACGACCCCACAAGTTTTTAGCTTTAATTATTATTGTGTTTAAATAAAGTTTATCTATCTATCTATCTATCTATCTATCATTTTATATTTTGAACCGTGTTCAAAAAGGAAAGGTTCTATTTTGCTGACGTTGTGTTCAAAGTTAATGTTAAGCATGGCTACAAGACTACAGAGGTTACGCCAATTGCTGTAAGTTTGTATTCAGGAATACAAAGATTTTCCTGGTTATTACATGAACTGTACGTATGTAGACAAAGCCCTACACTTAAAACAAAAGGAAACCTTGTGCATCAAGCAAACATATGGAAAGGAAGCAGGAAGTCCCAAGCATTAAAAAGTTAAAGTTAATGTAGATGAGAGACAATAAAAAAATTGCTTTATTTTCTGTGCTTAAAGAGGGAGGGTTTCACAGCCCGCCTCATGAGTAAGCTACAACCATAATCATTAAACTCCATTGTTTATAAAACAATAAGTAACGTGGAGATCAGCTATAGTGAGAAATTGGCCTTTGAAAATTTTGCGGTCAGTCGCAAAAACATGACAACAGCTCTAGGTGATATCTCTCGTTAGAATTCCTTCTGTACTGTGTTCCGACTAAAGTACATAAAGTGCACAAAGTACAATTTTGTTTTTCGTATCAACTACATGTATTTCAGTCATGCTCAAGGTCTGTTAGCAGAATGTTAGCCTTGGTGTAGCTATACGGCAACACAAATGCTAGTAGAATGAGTGATGCACAAATGTCACAGAAGGTGTCAATGGATTAAACCAGAAAATGTCGAATTCCGTATTGTACCTCAAATTTATTATTTGGCCCGAACGTTTTATTCTGTACTGGACGTACGAGTTATATACTCACATCTAATTGGTTTGTAAACAATGAAATTGAGTGGGCTATGTCATAGCTTACACATGCAAGCTATGATGTAACACTATCCCTTTAAATTTGTAACAGAAATCCAATCCAATCCTCCCATGTAAAATTGGCTTTTCACGGGGATTTAGCTCAGCTCAACGACTTTTATTTCAGGGATATTGCAGATTTTTAATTCACCCTGAATTTTGTTCTCTATTGCGTGTTTGGCAAATCCATGTGTTACAAATCCAATCAAATCCAATCATTTCCAATCCATATTTTACAATATGGCACCTGGAAAGTTCGAGAAGTCTTGATTTTTTTCCTTCTTTACGTTGAAAGTCTCACTGCTGGCCATAATAGACAGAACTGAGAGACGAAAAGACACAAGACATCCCCAAACGACTTGAAAGACCGTAAAGTGACAGTCGAAGAGAGCACAAACCTCTGACTTCTTACCAGTCTCAGGAAGCGGACCTGGAGGGAGGGCGGATGGACCTGAGCGCATGGACCAATTTCAATTTTTAGACTTTTGTCGAACACAGAAAACCTAAGCGATGCCACAGACTGTAACACTGATTTTTACTGTAGGAAAAACAAAATTGCCGCTCAGTTTCATTTTTCTCTTCATTGTTGACAGGATTAAAGTAAATTAAATATAGGTTCTGTTTCGATCTTCTGTCAAATGGAAAAAAAGTCAAATATTTCCAATTTACCACTTTCTTATTTTTTGTGTTAAAAAATAATGAAAATCAAAAATTGACATCAATTTTCAATTTTTGATTTTAAACAAAAATTGAACAGATGAATGACCCAAGGGCCCAGGGACTAGAAATTTACATGAAAAGTGTTTCTTTTTTTTTCAAATAAAAAATTAATTACAATATTTAATTCACCAAGAATTAACCACTTTCTGACCAAGGGATAGAAAGAAAAAAGTAACATATTATACAGTAAAAACCTGTGTAAAAGAACACATGTTTGGAGGGTTCAGGCTGATTTTGTTTTTATATATTGGGTATTCTCTCCAAAATCAGACTGAAAATGTTCTTAAGGTGTTCTTAAAATTTTTCTAAAAATTAAATACTGCACAGACGACCAACAGATGAAATCAATGTGCAAGCACAACATTTTAATTACTTAATGGATAGCATATATATTGATCCATTTAGTACTGTACTTAGTACTGTACCCTAGTAGGTTATTCTAATCTAACTGGCAGCCAATGTTTTTAATATATTATAAGAAAAATTTTCATCTTTCAGGCCGAATCTGTTCTTACTTTTTTGACCAAATTTCAGCCTGAGCGTTTTTAATCCACTTGTTCTTTTATGCGGGTTTTTACTGTATGCAAAACACACACAATTATAAATCTGACGCAAAAGGATTACTTAACACAAAAAACATTTGCTCAAACACACTGTCTAATGAACTCAATTGCCTCTTGTTCACACACCATTATATCTGCTAGTAAGCAGTTATTTGCAGATTATTTGTATGTTAGGTTCTCAACACATCGAAAACGAAGGAAAATTATGCACCACTCAGTAGTAACCTGGAATATTTGTACCTTCTTCCTATGTTGTTATTTTGTACTGCACTTATACCAAGTACAGTTTAAAAAATGTGTCAATGAAGGATAACATCACATGTTATTGCAGAGATGTATCGCAGCCTTACCTCCAGGTGCTTCCTATCAGCAGGACTCAAAATATTTCTCCAGGTGTCCATACTCACAACTCGGAAGAATATTTCCTCCTAAAAATTATGATAGTTACATGCACTTTTAATGACTGGCATTTTATCATCCTTGGAGTTATCATTATATCGAGTAGGATGCTCATTTTAAATCAAAAAGTAATAAGTTAGTGGAAAAAATCATGTATATGTAACTAACTGTCTAAAAATACTGTAGTTGTAGTCAGGCATAGTAATAAAATCTTAAAAGTTGTTATCACTGACTTAAAAATCTTAAAATAGACATTTCGGCTAAAATACTATAACCTTCTTCAGTGATGAAATGAATGTTAAACGGCGTCTAAATGTAAATGAGATGTTTATAAGAATGTGACAAACTCGCTAGGGATTAATTTAGCATTTTGTAAATGTCTGGAATGTGCGCGTGGTCATTAATTGAGTACAGTTCGCGAATGGAATGCCACGCTTCCAAGAACAATAGCACCATAATTGAAAGGCCGCGTCCAAGAACGTCCCCTAGATTTTTCGGCCATTTTTGAAAGTGAGAGTAAACTTTCCACTTTGTTTTGCACATCAGGCGAAAAAAACAAGGAATACAAACATAGGGCAATGTTTTTCTATTACGTTGGAGACCACATGCAAAAATTTGGGCGCTTTTGAACAAAAAAATCATTTTTCACCCGAAAAAGTCACTTACGTCAGTCTTGCACTAAGCCATTCAATTATATCTTGGTGAATTATACAGTGTACTCCCCAAATCTTGACTTCCCTGTAACTTGGACGTCATAATAACTCAAACCAAAAATTGATTTTCTGTGGATTTGCTTCTTATATTGACTACAATTATACCCTTAGTAACTCGATAACTCAAACCTCTTGCTAACTCAAAGTGACTTTTTTAAATTTGTTCAGAATTTTTTAAAATAACTTATACCTTAACCTCAAACCTTATTTGCTAGTCTAAAACGTCAAAGCTCCCCAGAAACCCACACAGAAACAGGTTGGATGTACAACAGCCCTCCACAGTATTCGTCTGCTGTCTGCCTTTGTACTGTAAGTTCCCTTCAGATCTGTTGCGCTTTGTTATGTTCACAAAGTATTTCTCCAAACAATTTTACACATTATTAGCCTGATTAAAATGTACACTGTATTGTGTTATTCCCTAATATTCTGTTTATTTGTTTAGATCTCCTTTTAACTCTAATGTTTCCTAATTTCCCTTGAATCCTCAGTCCGACGTTTTCAATCACCAAACAAAAGCTTACATTTGTATAACTTGTAATGACTTCCTGTCTCACTTCAGTGCACTCATATAATATAATTATAGATTTAACCAAGCCTAAAAGTGGAGATCCTGAGCTGGGTTGTTTCAAGCCCGATTAAGCTAACCCAGGATAAGAAAGAATTTTGATTTGAGGTTTGTAACTTTGCGGTGAGGTTTTCTAAATATTGTTTGGCCTTCTGGTTTGAGTTTGAATAATCTCAACCTACCCAAAAAAGCAGTGAAAAACATTTGTATAAAAGAAACATTGATACTTCAGTTAACTTTTAATCCTGGGTTAGCATTTACCACCTTCCGAACAACCTAGCCTATACTAGATTACAACAAGTTAACCTGACATGAGCCTACAATCCAATTGCCAATTGAAAACCAGCAATTGGTCAGCTGTCAACTTTAAAAAACACATGACCTTGATGAGTTCTAAACTTGAGCCTGCAATATGGTCATGTGATACTGGACAGCAAATAACTTGTTTTGACAGTTGTCAATTGACCATAACATGGATTTCCAATATCAAAGAGGGATGCTATAAACAAAGGCTGCAGGTCTCTGTCAACCTATTAGCTGGAGTATGGCCACCACCTTATGCGACTCTGTCATCATCACAGTCGTGATCATCACTGTCATGCGTACGCATCTACGAGCAATACCACTAGTCATGATAACCATGAGAAAATCAATTCATGGGTTTTCTTTTCTTTCCTATATGAGTATTGCTGGCCCTTCAGGCTGCTGGAGCTCTGCCAATAATGTTCAACAATGATGAAAATACGCCTTTCAACTTTTGCCTTTTTCAACTGGTCCATTTAATTTTAACTATTCACAAAAAGTAACTCAAAACACTTTTACACACCTGACATTGTTGTCTGCATTCAGAGAGAATCCTGTGTAAACATATGAAATTAAAATCACTCCATTTAAGTGTTTAAGTGTTAAGAGTCAAAAATTCACAAAAAACGAAAATATAGCTTTTTGCCTCATTAAGTATGCAAAAAATATCTGGAAAATTGACAAAGTTCTTGGTATTCATATTGAAACAATTTACAAAACTAGAGCACAGGGTAAACTTGGCATAAGAGCTTTACTTTTCTTCTATCTAACAGTACGAAGTTTTAAATTTTTCAAGCATTTTGAAGGATTCTGTCGATCGTTGAAGAATTGCCTTTTCAAACCCCTATGGAAACAGCAAAAATTGCGTAGTTTCACAGGCTTAAAACGCATCTTGGTATGTCCGATATGGAACTAAAACAAGTACTGTGCAAAAGAGTGTCGTTTGTACTATAGTAATATGGAAAAATTTCTGGGCAATCGAGGTTCACACAGGTAAAATACAAAAGTTTGCGACAGTCTCTTCTCAAACTTGCATGATGCGGTATGTTCAAAGAACTCTATTGTTGAGCACTCTAGCCCGTTTTTGTTCCATTTGTGCACCATGCTTTGTGGGTAATATACAAAAAGAGAGTTGATCCATGTTGTTATTACGACATTGTTTCATTATGTCACGCAAGGTACATAAAACTACAGAAAAAGCCCAAAATATAAGTTCAAAGTCACCCAGACTAAACACGCTACATGTATTATGTGACGCCAGTCACGTAATATATATTTTTAGTTAGCTCCAATTGAAATTTCTTGATTATTGAGGTTTAGACACTTGCTTATAATAGAGACATATCAGGTTTGTCTTTCCCGTTTATATACACTCGATTAGTCTGCAAATATTCGAAAGGAGACTGGTCTTTTAGAGTAAATTTTAGCATGTGTCTCGAGTTTGATCTTGATGGGAAACGAATTAATTAGACGCACTAAATGAAACGAAGAGGTTTTATTAACGTGATCCAGCTAGACCAAGGAAGCAGGTTTTCTTGAAAAATAGAGTAAGACTGTCTGATGTCTATCCC